TGCAGTGGATTAGTAAGATTCTTAATCATTATTGTAACTAGAAATATAGAAAAAAAAATTGAGACTATCTATGATTTAATAATTGCCGTCTTTTTATACCATACGTCCATTGCAAGAGACATCACTGCTTATGTCACTTCTTTTTTTCCTATTATCAAAATGCAATGGAATGAAAACGACAGAAAAATACTAGTACTGATCGGTCCGTTTTTTGAAAGGGAATGCTTCTTTAAATCTCGAAAGGCGAAGAAAAATATATGTGGATGCTAGTTTTTGTATTGTTTTGGATGAGACCGAAACTCTTTTGTTGTTGTCGTCGTGTAATGAATTTGCTTAAAGGTTTCAGGCTTAACAATTTGATATTAATTGTTTAAAACAAATTCATGAAGTTTTAAGTTTGAATAAGGATTAAAAAAATGCTAATCTAATAAATGTAGAGATTTTTGGAATGAAAATACTAAGTGATAAACAAATCTAGTGTCCCAACAACTGTCTAATTGGACCATGTAAAATATTGTTCAAGAAATTATTTTGAAGTGAAATTAGAAAGGAATTAATCTTGAAGTAAATCCCATAGTTAATTATGAAAATAATGATTATTGAGATGGCTTAAATCAAGATATATTTATTTGGAGAAAGCAAGATGATTAAAAGAGGATAGGACAAATTATGAAGCAATACTATTTAGTTAATGTGAATAAAAATCATTTTTTGAAATGGTTGAATCAAGATTGGAAACTAAGTTTTAATTTTTGGAGAAAAGAAAATTATAGTTTCATATCATAGAGAACCAGTTCATAGATTGACAAATTCAAAAAGACTAGTTTGGAGAAGCAGTGAAACGAATGGTAATAAAAATATCAAACAAAGAACCAAGAAAACAAGTTTTTAGTGGCATCCGAATGCCCAAGATATGTTGAGTTTGAAAATCCAAAAACAAGTTGTAGGAAAATGTCTTCTCACAAATTAAATTACCTAGACAAGATAATTATTTTAGAAAGTAACTAGACAAGATATATATATATATAAATATATATTATATAAGAAGAATTAATTATTATTTCCTTCTAAATTAAAGTGAACTGACCTCTTTGTTAAATTTTAAAATTGAGTATTTAATTTAAAATTACTTAATTATAAATAGAGATCTTTATTATATTTAAGTGTTTATGATAATATTATCAATTTAATAATAAAACATATTTAATTTGTTTTCATTTTAATACTTCTCCTCACTCGTGGAGGCAATGAACTTAGTACATAACATATTCTTTACGAAAAAAAATAATAAATCAATCATGCGTGTAATTAACTTTATGCCGAGTATCAACTTTGGTTTGCAAGTTAAATTTTTTAAGGGAGATGGTAATGCATATTCCAATAGTTAGAAGGAACTGTCATCATCAAAGAGTGACCAATAAGAAATTGGCAACGTTCTCAAAGCATATATAGGCCGGATAACATTTTTTTTTAAATTCATATATTTTAAAAATAATTTATGTTAATATTTTAATATATATTTAGAGTAAAATTCAAGTTAAATCCTGATTTAAAATTATTTATTCTAAGTTAAGTCAGATGAATAATCCGACTTTGGCTATATATCTATTTTATATTGTTAGGCAAAAAATCTCTAATTAATCAAGTCAGCAGAAACAAAATTAAACGATCAATTAATCACACAAAAGATAAAAATTTAACGTGATTGGACCTAACCGATTTACGAATGAAAAAAAATCTATTAATTATAGATAATTATATCAAATATCAAAATAATTACTCAATAATTAATACATATAGATCCTCTCAATCTCTCTTCTAATTTAATAGAGTATTCTCAACCTAAATAAACACATGCTTATATGCAATCATACATCATATATATATGAACCCTATCAGTATTCTTTATCTCATTCATAAATATACAAATATAATGCACATACTTATGTGGACTCTCTCAGTCTCTTCTAATCCTCTCACAAACATACAAATATACGCATCCATAAAATATAAATCTCTAGTAATCCTATAAGATGTTTATATCATAAAACCCTATAACTCTTTTACGTATTTTTTTCATACCTAACTCTATAAAGACTTTACATATTTATAAGCATACAAATTTACATATTAAGAATCTATTTTTTATTAAAATTTTTATTCTGCAAGTCTCTTTATTTATCAAGTAATAGTTAACTAATTCTAAATAAATCTATTATGAGATTTGAGTTACTATTTTAATACATATAAATATATTTTATTGTTTCAACTAAATCTATCATAAAATTTGGCATTATGTCACATCGATAAATTCCTAATTATAATGTTCTATCGCAAGATCTTGCCACAATCTTACCAAGTGAACTGTTAATTTTTGCGCATAGAAAATTTTTCCCTCAAATGAGGAAATGTTAGTGGCGGCTAGAATACAATAACAACATCCGTGGAAAACTCGTTCTCTAATGTTTTCGTCAGTTTGACTGCTATGTTTCGTGATGATAAAATGGTATAAGATCATTGGCCTAACTAATTTTTTTTCAGTTTGGTTCAAATATATATATATATATATTTATATATTATTGTTTCAAATGTACCTCAAGCTAGTACAGAGAGTGAGAAGTGGTAAAATAAATTCAAATAAAAAATTCATTTGAAAATTTTTTGAAACCAAACTTGATTGATAAAAAAAAAATGAAAGATTTAAACCGGAAACGATATGTGCTTGAAAGAATCTGAACTCGAAGAAACTTATATAAACAGATTAATTTGAAGTAGCAAGTTTTTTTATCATGAACAACTAAATCTACTACCTTGTGGGAATGGGGTAATTTCGTGGTGGAGATTTAATTTAGCCTTAGCTTCATAATGCTTCAGCTGTTAGTTTTATCTTGTGAAAGGAGGGGCCAACTCATTGGCTTATAGAATAGCTACAGTAAGAGTACTGTAGGGTTGGATGTGAAAAAGTTTGCTGTACAGGGACCACTGCCGGTACAATTTGAAATTATAGGTTGCTTTATTATTAATTTGAATGAACATCCTTTTTCCTATCAAAGAAAAACTAGATCTCTATATGCTAATAATATATATAGTTAATTAAAGACTTATAGTTAGAGTCAATGATTCAAATTTTATTGTCATTTAATTTATTAAATAATCATACTAATTGTCACATAAATAGAATTTATACATGATAATTTAATTAATAACATCATCATTTATAAGATAAAAAAAAAAAAGCAAATCCTAACAAGTGATATGTTGATCACTACTCAACTCTCTCTCTTTGTCTTTTCTAAGTTTGCTTTTTTTTTTTTTTTTAATTCTTGTATATCTCGATAAATTGAGTATCGGAGGAATACGTGTCAAATTACCATTTTCAATGCCTCCTAACCTTTTTCTTTGTCACAAGTCTTACATATTCTTTTTTTCAACTTCCAACAAATGAATCTCTAGATCACCAAATCAAGAATTATATTAACAAAATCAAGAACATAAATTTGATCTTTTTCTACATGAGAGAAAGCATCACAAGACAAACCTATGATATTGGCCAATACTTCATCTCACTTTTAGTACTAGAACTAATTTTTTATTTTTAGCAAAGGATATTATTTATGAAAGGAAAAGATTATATGCACATAAATATAAATACACATAACTATTTTTTTTATATCAACTTTTTTAACCTAATAAAAAAATATTTTATTCATTTTTTAAAAAAATATATTATCATAAAACACATATGTATATATTTATGTGTATATATAAATTGTCCTTTATGAAAAAATACAATGTAGCAATCAACTACAAACTACAAAATAAAACGTTTTTTATTTTATGAATGATAATGCGATTTTATTAAGGCATAAATCGCTTATAAATATAACCATTATAAAGCTAGGAAGGAGGCCTCAAAATCTTTCATGAATACACATCACATTATAGCTCCTCTCTAAGCACTCTGTAATGGCAGCCAAGGAATTCTGTTTCCCTTTGTATGAAAAGATTGCTCGTAAAAACATTATCCAAAGAGCATTGGATATCACTCTTTTTTTCCTTCTAGTTTCCCTCCTGTCTTATCGTCTCCTTTCTCTTAACAACCATGGATTGGTCTGGCTCCTTGCTTTCTTATGCGAGACATGGTTCACGTTCAATTGGTTTCTCAACGTCAGCTCCAAATGGAATCCTGTGGAATTCAAAATATACCCTGAAAACCTTGAACAGAGGTAGCAAATCAACGGTTTACATACGGTTTACATACGATCACTATCATTTTCTGTTAGTAATTATTGTTTACCATAAAATTAATTGATTTTGTTGTCTGCAGGTTTCCGGAGCTTCCCCCTGTGGACATTTTTGTTACGACTGCAGACCCCGTGTTAGAACCGCCTATTATAACTATAAACACCGTTCTCTCTTTGTTGGCTGTTGATTATCCAGCTGCCAAGCTAGCTTGCTATGTATCCGACGATGGCTGCTCCCCTCTCACCTTTTACTCTATAGTGGAAGCATCCAAATTTGCTAAGCTTTGGGTCCCATTTTGTAAGAAGTACAAAATTCAAGTTAGAGCTCCCTTTAGATTCTTCTTGGAGGATCCTATATCCTCCAATTCAAATTTTGATTTCAAACAAGATTGGGAAAAGATGAAGGTATGTAATTTCAAAGTTGGGCGAAAAAGAAAAAAAAATGAACAGGAGAGCAAAATTATCTGTTTTCTTGATAATACAGTTAGAGGTATTCCTTGACTTTGTTTGCGGCTAATCTCCTCTTGAGACGATTTTAAGATTGCAAAATTAATTATTTTAAAAATAAATATACAAAAATTTAAATTAAAAAAATCTTTTTTTTGATTAAAGAGAAGATATTATATGATTCCATGATAATATATAAAATTTATATATTGATAATAAACAAATATAAACTCATTTTATTTTGCCATTTAATTTGCAATTAGGCACTAATAGACATTTAACTTGTCTTAATTTATTGGATCCTTGCAGGCCGAGTACGAGCTCCTTAGCTTAAAAATAGAGGAAGCAGGCCGAAGAGCAGCTCCATGTGATCTAACCGGTGAGTTTGCTGTTTTCTCCCAGGTTGAACGCAGCAACCATCCGACTATAATCAAGGTAACTCATTTATACCTAAGACAGTTCATTGCCTCAATGTTCCCCCCTATTCTAATTAAACAAAATAAAATTATATATATTGTTTCCATCATGGTTTAATTTTATGCGATACGATGTTGTTTTATATATGTGGCTCATAAAAAATGTACTTATCTTCATTGGTTATTAATTTTGGAATCATTCGAATTGTTTTGTTGTAGATAATAGGAGAGAACATGCAAAACTTTTGGGATGATGAGGTGCCACATTTGGTTTATATTTCCAGAGAGAAACGGCCGAAACATCCACATCACTACAAAGCTGGTGCCATGAACGTTCTGGTAATTAACAAAGAATTCCGTATTGGGTTAATTTGAATCCGAAATTTAATTCAATTCGTTTATACAATCATTTAAAAATTTAACAAATTTAAAATTTAATATTTAAAGTTTTTTTTTATTTCCTAACTGTTATTTTTTTGTAAAAAAAAAAATCAAAATTTTCAAAAATTACCAAATACTTCCCAACGTTTACTTAAGTTACTCAATTTAAATTGAATTCATTTTTGGGAAATTACCCATAAATATTCTTTAAACCAACTACCAGAAAATAAATTAATCAACTATGGTTCTTGTACCAAAAACAGACTAGAGTGTCAGGGTTGATGACGAATGCGCCGTTCATGCTGAACGTTAGATTGTATATGTATGTGAACAACCCACAATTGTTCGTCAGGCAATGTGTTCAGCTTCTTGGTCACGAGAGTGAAAGAGAAATTGCATTTGTTCAATATCCTCAGTCTTATTACGATGGTCAGAAGGACGATCCCTATGGAAACCAATTTGTGGTTTTGACAGAAGTGAGTCATATTTTTACATAGACCTAAATGAATTTTCTACTACTACTTTTCTTTTTGCTCAGTTAGAATATATATATATATATATATATATATATGTTGCTATGTTAGTATATGGGCCGTGGGATAGCGGGACTCCAAGGAATTTTCTATGGTGGAACAGGATGCTTTCATAGACGAAAAGTCATCTATGGTCTACGGCCTCATAACGCAGAAAATCAAGCCAGAAATGATACATCAATTAACGGTATATACTTTTTTTTTAAAAAAATCTAATTAATGGTATATATTTAATGAACAATTTATCTTTAAATTAAAGGATTGAGATCCAATTGGTTTCTAACTATACTATGATTCAATATTGACATTTTGCATTGTATTTCAATTTTGTTCAATTTTGTTATTACTTATATTTTTATTTCCCATATAGAATATGGTGACAAATTTAACTTTAATCCTTTAAGTAATGATTTCTTTTTCTCTTATCACTTTCAAATAAAAAGTCTCTTAGGAGACCTTAATTCTTAAGCCTTTTTTAGTGAATATGGTTAAATAAAAATTACAATTAAATTTTATAAATTAAAAGATCTCACATATATCATGAAAAAATATATATTTTTTGATATATTTTACTAAAAATTATGATAATTTTTTCACCATTCAATAAATATTGATTACATCTTGAATATAAACAACATTTGTAATAACATTTTTCATATATTATTAATTTTTTTATAATTAAGATCTTTTAATATATAGATTTCGATTTTCAAAGTTAATTTTTATTTAATGGTTTTCATTAAAAATCTTAAAAGCTCCACCTAAAATTTTTTACTTAAATATTGCCCTCACTCTAGCTAAACTCCAATGGTAAATTAAAATAATAGGAGCCTGATGGTTTATTCTTTCTTTCTGTAGGAAAATTAGCTTATTATGAACTGAAAAAAGAGTTTGGGGACTCAGAGGAGTTTTCAGAATCAGTAACTTATGCATTGAAAGGCGAGAAGGGTCTTCGAAACAACCTTTCAGATTCTCTCGAGGCAGCTTTCCGGGTTGCAGGTTGTGGCTATGAATTTGGTAGTAGCTGGGGAACAAAGGTTAGTAGAAGAAACCTACTAAAATTTTAAGCAAAAATGTCCAAGTTGCGTTATAGTAAAAAATGTAATATTTAAATTTTAAATATTTTTAATGTAATATTTAAATTATAAATATGTTAAATAATATAATATTTGTAAAATTTATTGTTAATCACGTATCATCCTTAAAAGTTAATGATGTTAAGGATGAATATTATCTTAATTTATATATTCATAATTCATTTATCATATTAAATATTTTACTATAATTAATGTGTATGTGATATTAACTCAAATATTAATAATTGAAAAGAGCTGATGATTGTAATGTGTAAACCTTCAAATTGGGGTAAAATTGATTACGTTTGCTTCAGCTTGGATGGATATATGGATCCATGACAGAAGATATCCTAACTGGGTTGACGATTCATAAGAAAGGGTGGAAATCCACCTATCCCATGCCTGACCCACCGGCCTTTCTAGGTTGTGCGCCATCTGGGGGCCCGGCGGCAATGACTCAACAGAAAAGGTGGTCTACAGGCCTGTTTGAAATCCTTGTTAGTAAAAACAACCCAATATTTGGCACCCTGACCGGAAACCTCCAGTTCAGGACGTCCTTAGCCTACATCTGGATTCTTTCTTGGGGCGCCTCCTCAATTCCTCAGCTGTGTTATGCTGCTCTGCCTGCATATTGCATCCTTGCCAAATCCCATTTCTTGCCCAAGGTGAGCAGAATTTACTTGCAGTATATACTTCATATACAATTAACTGAGGTCGTCGCTTCATCCATTTATATATATATGCCTCATACTTGTCCTTTATATAGTTTAGTACCATAAATGTCAAGTACAATAAACTATTCGAGATGTTCTATCTTATTTGTTATATCATTGTCTCTCACCTCGAAGCCATGCTTTAGTGTCTCGGCATCAAATCCAGGACCACATAGTTCCATATACAACTGTCTGAAAAATGAGTACAATAAGAAAACAAATTTAGATACATTTTTTTTAACATGAACCCTAGATTTAACTTAATTCATGTAATTTCCAATAAATTTAAGATTTAAATTTCAGTAATTGCAATAACTTACTTTATTCTCAAGCTTTCAGCCTCCTTTGAATGAATTTATTTTCCTCATAAAAAATCATTACTTTAATTTGCTCTGAAACAAATTAGTACAGTATAATATAATTGTACTTGTTATATATACTTACTTTAGAAGCGTGAACTGCTCACAAGTTTAACAATTAATGCAGGTCCAGGACCCGGCGATATTGATACCTGTTGCCATTTTTGTGATTTACAACTTGCTCACTCTCAGGGAATACCTCAAAACTGGCATGTCCATACGAGCATGGTGGAATAACTTGAGAATGGGAATAATAACAGCAACCTCTGCATATTTGTTTGGAGCTCTAAGTGTCCTACTCAAACTCTTGGGTTTGTCTGATACAGTTTTTGAAGTTACAGGAAAAGATCAATCTAATTCCAATGGCGACGAAACTGACGGTACTACAAAATTTACTTTCGATGAGTCACCTATTTTTGTGCCAGGCACGACCCTTTTGCTTGTGCACCTGACAGCACTGCTCGCCCTTTCCTTAGGGTGGCGACCATTAGTTCAAGATACTGTTGGCCACGGGGTAGGGCTAGGAGAGGTCTTGTGCAGCCTATGGGTGGTGCTATGCTTCTTGCCATTCCTGAAAGGGTTGTTTAAAACAGGAAAATATGGGATACCTTCCTCCACCATATTCAAGTCAGCTTCTTTCGCATTAGTTTTTGTTTATTTCTGTAGGACTCCGGGGGTTTGAGATATGGACTACTACAGGTAACTTGTACTTTGTTTTTGGAGCGTAAATTAAATTTCATTGTAAATTGAGATGTTAATCATTACTTGCTTCACCACAGACCACATAAGAATAAGAACAATAGCTACGGGTTTATTGAGTAAGTAAATCTCTTTGATAGATAATCTATATGTCAAATACAAGTTTTTTCTTAGGTTTGTAGTTTATTTTTATCTTAAAATTAAAAAATATATATTTTGTTAAAATGATATTATCTCACATTCATTAAATATTGTGTTTTTATGATTTTATATTTATGTTGGATTTCTTTATCTATAGCTAATTGATTTTATATAAAAAAATTTATATAATAAAAATAAAGCCTATATATGTTATCAACCATTTCAAATAAGAACTAATTAATTACTTTCAATTACATTCTGTAAATATATTACTTAAATATAGTTAGAAAATAAATCTATACGTTCCCGTTAGAAATTGTGTAGATAACTTAATTTGCAATGTCACTATGGCAACATCCATTTGGTTCTATATGTACATAAGTAGTTAATATTTGTTTTGTCTGTCCAAACCCCAACCGGTAAACATCTAGGCAAGTAGAATTGCAATCAAACGATAAATCATATATATAACATATAGCAATTTAAAGTGATTCCATACAAATATATTAAATAAATCATCACCACTTAACCAATCAAACACCCAAATACTCAGCTCACAAACAAAGATGGATCTACTTGAGGGCCACCAAAAAAAATTCTGAAATAATTGTATTTTAGATAAAGTTCAATAATTTTCATTGGTCCAAAATAAAATTTTTAAATTATATTAGTTTTTCAATTTGAATTTATTGGTTATCAAGCCCAAAGCTCAAAACATTTAAATAAGAAACTTACTTGTTAGTTTAGTTTTACCACATAACACCAAATATTTCTTGTTTTTTCTTTAATTTTTTTCTTTCTTAGTTATTTCACTTATTTGATCAAAACCAGCAGTAGACAGCAACCTGACACCACGCATTCTTGAGAGAGTATTCAAATTGAGTTTATTTTACTTTCAAAATTTATCTCATCTCCAACTTTGTAGACTTGGACATTAATTTTTCGGTCTATTAAGGTATTTTTTTTTCAATTCATATTAGTTGTGTACATTAAAAAAAATGTGTTTAAAAAAAATTGATAATGAAATTATTGTGTAAAGTTTTCAAAATATGAAATTGATGTAAAAAATAATTGTAAAATTTTTAACAATGATGACTACATATGTAAGTTTAAATTATTATTATTATTATTATTGTTATTATTATTATTATTATTATTATTATTGTGTTTAAACTAAGTTCTCACTAGATAAAATTTTTTATTCCTCCACTGCTCACAAATCAATCCCAACCTAAATAAATCAATAAACATTCTTGCTCCATCTCTAATAATCTCAATTACACATCAAATATTCACACTTATAGTCACTCTTTTAGCACCATGAAGTGTGTACACATCTAACATTTTAAGGATGTATTTAATACACAAATTATGATGGGATAAGATAAAATGATATTACGAATATGATTAAATTAAATAATGTCTTCATATCACTACAAGGGAATAAGTTTTTATCGACTTTTTTTTTACGTTATAAACATCGTTAAAAAATTTACGACGTTTACCAAAAATATCGCTAAAAATGTCACCTATATCTACATTAGAGAAAATAATAGTATTTTAAGAAAAAAACACCGCTAACTTAGCAAGATTTTTTTTTGCAAATGCCACTAAATAAAGAATTTAGTAGCATTTGTGTGCAAAAATCTTGCTAAATTTAGCAAGATGTTTTGACACAAATGTCGCTAATTTCTATAATTTAAGCAGTGTTTTTGCTTATAAACACTGCTAAATTAAACTTTTTTTTTATTTATTTCAACATTTACTATTATAATTAAATAAAAAATAGATAAATATTTTTCAATTCATAAAATGAATTTAAAGTCATAAACTGAATATTATAAATATTTAAATATCAAAATACATAATTTGTTCCAGTATGCATATAACACAAAGCTTAATCCAATAGCATTCAAATTATTTCAGTATATTAATCAAAATTTTAAAATATATGAAATTGATTACCATTAAGATTTGGAGCACTATCATTTGATGAAGAATTTTTTCCACCACAATCATTAGCTTGCTTAAAAACTTACTGAATAAAATAAAATAAGTTTTTACACTTAATAATAAGCTATTTATGATATTAAAAAAATATAAATAGTTACTAGATATAATACCTGAGTTGATTGACTACATAAATTGTTTCTTGAAAATTGTTGTTGCACAAAGTTCATAAGACTGTTGAATCGATCATGTAATTGCTTATGCTCTTCATTTATTCTAACACGCTCCTCAATTTTTTTTTGCTTCTATTTGCTAAATACGTTGTTGCATAATTTGCAACCCCTCTCTCACTATTGAGATTTTTTGGATAAGATTGACTTGTTAAGAATATAAATTGTTGAGAGATATTTTTATAGTAGTTAGATGGTCTTGGACCCAATCCAAGGCATCGAACCTGTCCATGTCTTTTTTTTCTAACAACATTTATGAAAATCTAATCTTTCAATTTTTTCATGTTGACAAAACAATCGAACACTACTTCAATCTCAATGGCCATTTTCTCTTTCACTTTCTCTTGTAAATTAATCAAATAAAGCTATCAAGTTTAATAATTAATTCATAATATATTTAAAATAATAAATATTTACTTATGTATAAAACAAATCCAAGAACTTTCCATAATTTCTTGTATTTTGACATTTAAGTAAGATCTATTTTTTTCAAATGGGTTAATCAAAAAAGTTTGACATGTCCAATTTTTTCACCTAACTTAATCTCCTACATTAAAAACACTATTATTGTTAAACGCATATCGACCATAACTAATTTATACTTATCAAGCATGGCAATAATGGAATTTAAACATTTGAACAAATTTAATATCATGCAATATGAGCTATCTAAACTGTTAAAACATAACAATAATTACAAATTTACATTTTTGCCTTTTGACGTTACTAAATGTCTTAAACAAACATAAATCGTAACTTATTCATACATATTAAATCATGAAAACTAAGTTCAATCATTTAAACAAGTTTAATATCACATATTTAAGCTATCTAAACTATTAAAATATAAATATAACTGCAAAATTATATTTTTACTCTTTAACGATACAACAAAGTCCTAAAAAAACATAAACAGTAACTCTTTCACACATATCAATTATGAAAACTATGTTCAATAATTCGAACTAATTTAATATCATGTATTGAAGATATCTAAAAATAGAATAAAAAATATAAATTTGCATTTTTGCATTTTAGCATTATAAAAGTGCTAAACAAACATAAACGATAACTTTTTCACACACATCAATCATGCAAACCAAGTTCAATCATTCAAATAAGTTTAATATCATGTATTGAAGCTATCTAAATTGTTAAAACATAAATATAACTACAAAATTATATTTTTTCCTTTTATCGACATAAAAAAGTGCTTAATAAAGATAAACAATAACTTTTTTACACATATTAACTGAGAAAACCAAGTTCAATCATTCAGACAAGTTTAATATCATGTTTTGAAGCTATCTAAATTGTTAAAATATAATAATAAATGCAAATTTGCATTTTTGCCTTTTAATGACACAAAAAGTCCTAAACAGACATAAACAATAACTTTTTCATACATATCAACCATGAAAACCAAGTTCAACCCCTTAAACAAGTTTAATATCATGTATTAAAACTACCTAAACTGTTAAAATAGAATAATAAATGTAAATTTGTATTTTGGCCTTTTAACGACAAAAGAAGTCTTAAATAAACATAAACGGTAACTTTTTCATATATATCAACTATGAAAATCAAGTTCAATCATTCGAATAAGTTTAAATCATGTATTGAAGCTATCTAAAATGTTAAAATAGAATAATAAATATAAATTTGTATTTTGACCTTTTAATGGCACAAAAGTGCTAAATAGATAGAAACCAAGTTTAATCAGTCGGACAAGTTTAATATCATATATTTAAGCTATCTAAATTATTAAAACCTAAATATAATTGTAAAATTATATTTTTATCCTTTAACGTACAACAAAGTCTTAAAAAAACATAAACAATAACTTTTTCATACATATCAATTGTGGAAACCAAGTTCAATCATTTAGACAAATTTAATATCATGTATTAAAACTATCTAAACTGTTAAAACAGAACAATAACTACAAATTTATATTTTTGCTCTTTAATGGCATAAAAAATGCTAAACGGATATAAACTGCAACTTTTTTATTTATTACTTAACTTATTTATTCTTTTTGCTTTCTTGAAAAGCTTTTTGATCCACTCATATGACTATTTCTGTTGCTTTTTGCTAGCAATCCTAATCTTTCCTCTTTCCTATCTTAAAAAAAATTATGTATGTAGCAAAAATATAAATATTACCAACGAAAAACATAAAACACCTCAATTATTAAAAATAATATTAAAAGTTATAAATTAGTACCTCTCATTTTTTTTAAAAACCAAAATCTAATCAACTATTCCTATTACCACCTAATCACATCATAAGGTAGATTATCCATTGTGGCCTCTGCAGTACTATTTTTAATTGAAATATTTGTTCTTCAAATTATGCTTATAATCTTTCCATTTCTTTTTCAATGACTTAAGCACAAATGAAATAGGTTTTTTAAGTAAGAATCTTGACTGTAACAATACAAAAAGAAATGTTATAATTGATAGACCAACTTTAGCAAAGTTTATATTTCTAATAAATAATTAATTATACCAATGCTTGAACAAAGTTTAAAGCTTTGACCTTAATTTTTGTTGGAACTTTATACCATATTTCATAATGAATAGGCAATTTCATGCCATTACGGGCAATCATTTCTAAAAATCCAACCAGTAGTTGACACTATTCACCAATTGATTGCCTATCAGAGTTTGCAGACACTAAAATACGTTCATTCGAAAGTAGTGTCTATAATTCTTTCAAGTTGTTTGGCCTCTGGTCCTCTGTTGACCATTGTTATCAATTGAAAAAAAAAATCAATTAGTAAATTACCAATACTTTAATGATTATAATCGAAATCAAAATATGGGGTTTACGATACCTGCATTCAAATTAAAAGTAGAATCAATTGGTGAGATACTATCTAAACCTGGACCTATCATATTGTCA